ATACACGTGGAAAAATGAAAAATGTATAGCTATCGCATCATTTACACGTGTACCTGACACCGCATGGCTGGACGAGGCGGTTTTTTTATCATGGAATTCGAAATTTGTAGTACGAGATCACGTAACAGAATCACTATGTGTTTGTGCACGACGTGAATGCGCTTTGTAGATTACAAATCGTGGGGAGAGAATTTAATCGGCACGACGATATAGGCAATCGCGTGCGTGCTATGCTATGATGTATACTTTAGCAGACATCGAAGCAAAAAGGCTGCGAGTTGGATGGATTAATACGAAAGGGCTCTAGTTTGAAGCCGAGCACTTGGCTTTACCATTACCACATCACGTCATCGATCCCGCCCAGCGTCCAGCTCCACTCGACATACAGCGCGGAAAATGTTTTTACCTTGTGTAATGGTCGGAAGCAATGTTGATCGAAAGGGCGTATCGGTTCTATGTATATGAACCAACGAAATTACATTGTGCTTACACTAAAAAAAAAAAGTTGAATGCCTTTAGCAAAACTTTAAAGACATTTTTTAACAGCAAATATTTTGTTATATCACAAAAAGTATAGTTGCTTTTACAAAATAATGTCTCTACTTTATAAATAACAAGAAATTTGTTTATAGTTAACTAAATAATTCAGTTCGCAAAAAATTACAGTTCGGTCATTTTAACTAAAATTTTTGTTCGGTACATTTCAATCAAATTTTTGTTGTTTATCTAATAAATTATTACTATGAATCTAATATTATAAAGAGTTTATATTGTCTTGCTTATTGTAAAATAGTTTATTATATTACAAAGAAGAAAGCGATAACTTTTTTTGTAATTCATTTTTTTACTATTGTTGCCGCGTCGCAAGAAAATATTTTCCTGAGATTTTCTGCTTTACTATTGTACCTCCGTATATCTTCTAACACGCAATTTGCATCATGGATGAAAGAAAGACACATTATCTTCGTAAATATATTTATTTGTTTACAACAGTTATAATATTTTTTTCTTTCATCAGGAGCAGTTGAAAAATATACGTTTCACATTTACTGTGCAATGAAAAATGATGACCCGGTTTGAAACGAAGTTATAATAGTATGTAACACGACAGTCGATGGAAGATTAAATAGAGGATGAAATCATAATATTGAATTCCTACATGATTTTCGGTATATCTCTTTCATTATTGCGCTATGAAAACCGCATGAACTGCGTATGTGAAATTCAGCACTTCGCACTGTTTGCAAATAGCCAATTAAGGAGTTACTGTCAAGTTGACCGAGTTCTGTACTGATATTTCTTGAACGATAAATATGTATCTCATTTTGCTTTATAAAATATTTTTTACAGAAAAGCAGAAAATAATCCGCGATGTAATATTGATATAACAATAATACTTTATTTAAAATTTTCTATTCAATTATTTAATGATATATTATGTTATAAATTATTTTATAATTATT